TTGCTGTTGCTGTGAGCTAATTTAATGGTTTTAGGATGACAGAGTCAGCAAGGATCTTTTTAAGGATATTAATTCAGGTCTTGTCTAATAATTCTTCAATGGCAAAACTAGTATTGAAGCTGCTTGAATTGGTCACATCAATTCCAATAATGTTTAGAGCATTTTTATGGAAATAATACATCTCTTTTTTTAAGGCAGGACTGCATTAATTAAGAACAAGAGTACTATATATCATGTGACAAATAGTGCAAGTTCTATAGACATGTAGAAGGTTGAGCTAAGTTCAAGCTCAGTATTGTTCAGTATGAGAGAAGGCATAACTTGAATTTTGGAGCACCTAGGATTAATTTTAATGGTTTTACATTAAGAGCTTTTAAGTATTATTCTATTGACAACAGACCATAGTGCAATAATATCTACAATCGAGGTATGTTAGCATAAACTTTATCATAAATTATATAAGTTAGGATGTTATCAGCATACTTTTGAAGAATGATTTCAGGTGAGAGATAGGCGTTAATGTCAGAAATAAAGAGAATGAACAAAATTGAACCAAAAACACTACCTTAAAGTACTCTGGGTTCAATACATTTCCAGTTAGTGGTGAGATCATTTGTTTTAATTCTTTAGCGATGGTGAAGTGAGCCAGCTAGGTAGAATATTTATTAACTTTAGCAGTAATTTGTCATAAGTGACAAGATCAAATGCTTTTACAAAATCAAAGAATATTGCAAAAATTGATTTGTTATTATCTTTAACATAACTTCAGTCCTCTATAATTTGAATAATAGCATCCATTGTACATCAGCCTGGAAAAAACCGAACTGCTTGTTTGAGACCCATTTGTCACAAACATTATCCATCACACAAGTATTTGTGCTTGTTGAACAGAACAGAAAAAAACAGCTAGTAATCTGTATAAAATGTTCAAAAAATGTTTTAAAAATATATTTTTTATGAACTTCATATTCAAAGCTTTTCTTGATTTTGGATGAAGTTCCTCCATTAGTTTTACAACACATTCAGCAATTTGGTTACCAAATTCTGACCAATGTGTCTTTCAATACTAAATTGTCTTTTTACATTTTATCTTGATTAATGAGGTGAACAGTTCATTGAAGGGCATTACATTGTAATCTTGTGAATGAAACCAACCATTTTCCACTCATAGCAGATGAAGTCACATACTGGTGCCAGGATGCTGAGCCACTCTGGTATCAGAAATAATGCTATAAGAGCATAAATCACACTTCCGTATTGCCTAGAGTAAATTTAGGAGTTTCTTCTAGCTGATTCTAGGCCAATGTGAAGTTGTTTTGTAATGGCAATTTGTTAATGAACATAGTTCATATAAAAGCTTGAAATTGTTTCACCATCCAGAGTTCTGGCCAGTGTTAACATCATCTGTTTTAACAAGGCAGTAATCAGCCTGAAGGGAGACAGTTTTCTTTTAATTTGTCAATAAAGGAATAACTGGTTTGTTTGTTGGCGCTTGAATAAGAAAATTAATGACATGCTTCAGAAGGAGGTCAAGTACATGGTTCTGACAGCCAATATATTGTGGCTTCTGAAATCCCTTGCTGAAGACATCATACTATATGAGCAAACAACTAGTATTTACTTCAGTCATTTAGTAGATTATCATGCAAATATTTTCCTAAGCATCGAGTTCATCAATTAGCTGATGTAGTTCCTTGTGAAAGACAGTGGCAAATTCACTCACACATTTAAGTATATTGAGTTTGATTTCAGTTGTCATGTCTTTCAGCAGAACTACTTGATACTCTTTCCTTGCACTCTTTTACCATCAAACTGAAGTTAATAGGGACCTTTGCTTAGAAGTTTTTGAACAATTTTGGTTTTTATTTTGTGTCGTTCAAAGATTACTTATTTCCAGACACTTGCCTAACTTGAAACCAGCACATTATGCTCAAGGTCATCTGCTTTATGTGTAGAAATTTTGATTTTTAGTACCATTAAACCCGCTTTTATAAATCTTGATCTTTGGTATTATGGTTTGCATTCAGGAAAAGATGATGTGGAAGAAGATATTGGTGACTCGGATTTGTATGGGTTGCAAAAGAGAAGAGCTAGCTTGAGGTTGAGTTTTTGATAGTTGGATTCCTTTTTCTTGGGTAAATTAGTTCTAAAAGAGCTATCACCATTAAATAATCTTTCCTCCACTCTTAACTTGCCTCTGTTAGAGCTCTTTATCCTCCATGCTTTTCTGTTTTCCATTAGTATTGGCGAAATCGAATAATTGAGAAAGTGTTGCAGTGAATTTATCAGACAGTTTTTGTTATATATATATATATATATATATATATATATAATATATATATATATATATATATATATATATATATATATATATATATACATATATATATGTATACATATATATATATATATATATATATATATACATATATATATGTACATATATATATATATATATATATATATATATATATATATATATATATATATATATATATATATATATATATATATATATATATATATATATATATATAAAATATATATATATATATATAAAATATATATATATATTTTTTTATTTACTAATACAGAGATCATTGAACGTAGACCAACAGTTACTTCAGATCACATTCCTAATATGAAGTTTAGTAGCTTGGTAAGCGCTATTGATCGAACTCCTAATGTTTCCATTGTGAAAACAAACAGCAATGCTAAAAAGATCAGTAGTTTTCAACCTCATGTTGAATATGATGTTCGTGCAAAAATAAATGATTACTATAAAAATGCTACATTCATACCTGGTTTTCTGATGGAACGGGATTATATAGTATTGGAAAGTCTTTTGGAGGATGAAGTTGATCTTTTGTGGAAGGTTGTTTGGGAAAACAATGTTAACCAAATTGTTATGGTAAAAATATTTTTTCTATTTTTAATTGACAAATATTTACACAATTGTTTTCTTGATAACTAATTTATTGTTTAGATTTATATAAATATGAAAATTGACATTTAATAATTTTAATTTAGTTTAATTCTTTACTTTGATATAAGATGTAAAAAAAAATAACAGACATATACAGTAATATTTTACAGTACCATACATCATATCACAGTGATATACAACAATTATATTATATCACAGTACATTTAAATTACATTATATCACAGTACAGTACATACAACATTTTTTTAGATTAAAATAGATTATATTAGTATAAACTAATAAAAGTATATAAGAGTATAAACCTTTTCATAGTGGTACAAAAATCACTAAAATAGTGTTCAATATTAAAATATATATTAAAAAGGCTGATATATATATATATATATATATATATATATATATATATATATATATATACATATATGTATATATATACATATATTTATATATATATATACATATATATATATATATATATATATATATATATATATATATATATATATATATATATATATATATATATATATATATATATATATATATACATATAGCCTGCTTCATAAGTATCTGATCTAAAACATTGTTCAATGCTTGGACCATCTTGACCTTAGTCTCAGGGCGAACCTCATCATTAAAAAAAGCTAAGCAACAAGTTCCTCTAATAGGTACCAGAGATACCCTTGTAACTTCTTCACAGCAATTTTCAAGATCTCAGGATGCTGGATTTTGTAGGCATCCAAGTCTTTCAAGAGCTGCAGATCAAGTCTAGGAGCTGAGGTTGCTTCAGGAGATCTGTACCAGGTTGTAATGTACATTTGAACTGTGAAAAGGCAATATCTCTTATTCCCTTCTAAGGCCTTGTGATGAATAAAAACTGCGCAACACATAAGCACAACGTGATTTTTGACATCATTAAATTCTTTAAATTAATTACTGCAAAACTACTTTAAATTATTAATGTAGAAATGTTATTATTTAAAAAATGTTTTGGAATGTTTCGTTTTTTAAAATGTAAAAACATTTGTTCATTTTCTCGGCGTTTGACACGTTTTGTATATACTAAACAAATAAAAAACATTATAACTAAACATTTAAAAAAGATTATAAAATATGCTAATATTTGATTTTTTTTACTCAAGTATGTAATTTAAAGTTTTTCAAATGATTATTTTTTCTTTTTAAAAAGTCAGCGAGTAATAAACTGGAAGTTTTAATATTGTACGATTAAAAACTGTGCAATAGCTAATATTTTTACCAGCGATTTTATATAATATTTTTTTATATATTTATTTTTAATATCATAAAGTGGTTGATAAGCACAATCACTTGTATTAATAAAAAACTTTAACAAACTTTTTGAATAGATTTTTAATGTTTACAAGGAATTTTATTTCTAGTAAAATAAAATAAAATGTTAGAATAAAAATCTTATAGGTATAAAAGACATATTTCATCGAAAAAATTTGCATGTTGAACAATATTTAATAAAAAGTGCGCTAAAATTTTAAATTATTGGCTATTACTTTTTTATGATAATTAACCAAATGGCAGGGTGGCCCATGCAAAAATTGAATCTTCAAAAATAAGAAACACCCTAATATACATTTATATGTATATATATATATATATATATATATATATATATATATATATATATATATATATATATATATATATATATATATATATATATATATATAAATATATGTATGTATAAATTATTTAAATTAGTTTAATTTATTTATTTTAAAAAACTATTTAGATCGGATGTTTTGAAGAAAAAAAAAAGTGCCTTTGCAAACAATACTTTCCGTCAGAAGATGTACCCATGGTTTTCAATATGTACAATGTGTCTGTTATTAAAGTTCAAAATTATGCAAATATGATTTCTAGGACGATTTCTTTAGAATGTGGAGGTGTGAAGCGAATTGTTTATCATTATCAATTTTTAAGTTGGAAATCTGATCAAGGGAAACCATCTCACCCATCGCTATTTATTCAATTTGTTTTATCAATAATTAAGGAGGAAATTCAGAACATAGCACCGATTGTAAGTAATTTGAAAACAGCATATTTAATTTTGTATTTTGAGTGTTTTTAAGTGTTTTTAAGTGTTTTTAAGTGTTTTTAAAATATATAATAATTTAATATAACTAAAATATAATTTTGATATATAGTTTTTAATAATTTGTAGGTTCCTTATTTTATCAGTATAACTCTTACTAAATAAAATAATTTTATTATTTTGATGAGTCTTAATGGGTGTAAAAACTTTTCAAAAACAAATTCTTATGAAAGATGTTGAAGTAGACATTTTTTGTTTTTCCAAACATTGCCAAACACAAAATATATAACATTATGGTTGAAAACATTTCATAAAAAGTATAAGTCATAAAAGTTATGAATTTATTGAGTTTTGTAACTATGTCACTTCAGTTTGAAAAAGAAAATTAATTTTAGCAATATGGCCATTATTGTAATGCAAAATGTTCCAACAGCATTTGAACACTTCATCTAATCACAAAAATTTGAATTATTGTGTTAATTTATGGAAAAATTATTTATTAAGTTAACAAAACCTAAAATAATGCACATTTGATAGGTATTAATAAGTTTACTTGATTGAATGACAGTACTGAGTCAACATACTTAGTAATTATTGTTATTAAATAATTTATAAATGAGAAAACTATATTTGAGTATAAAAATTTAAACTATATTTTTTTATCTTATCTGAAATTATTCTATTTGTAAATATTTTTCATATTTTTCCTCGCAAATGTTTATCACAAATACATTATGCTTAACACATTTCCCTTTTTTTTTCTTAAAATATAGATTAAAAATCTTGAAGTTTCTGAAATTATAGTTTATTAATTAAAATAATGATTAATTTTGAGTATGAAATATTTGAAGAGAGTTTCTAAATTTGCTGAAATTTTCTCTCTTAATTATTCAAAAATGTGATTAAAATTTAAGTGCAGGTTTTTGCAATATTTGCAACAAAATAAGCTCATATTTTTGTTTAAAAGGGTTTTTTTTTGGATTAAATACATGATTTGAGTAAAAAACCTTTTAGGGTTTAAAAATAATTCCATTGCTTTTTTGTCACATATACATTGGTAAAAACTAGGTTATGTCACTGAACTTATAGATTAAAAATTTTAATTATGAAATTAGGTTATAGGGCAAGGTTTTTTTAGAAATCCTATAATAAATTGTAAGTTTTCTATCTCTTTGTAAAAAAAAAAAAAGGTAAAAAAGTATTAAATCAACTTATAACTCAGTGATTAACTTAATCACTGAAACTCTTCAATTGTTCAAGCAACTAATTATCTTTTTCTATATATTATTTTTATAAGTATTTTAAACATCAATGCAAAAGTTATTGCAAAACCAGTAAAAGGTTATCTTTCATCGTGGTTTTCAGATTAAATTTAAAAAGATATCTCAGCAAGAATATTCAACCTCCTTGTAAATTGGTCATTATACAAAACAAAACAAAAAAATCATCACCAAGCAATGAAAATTTAATGAATAAGATAATAGAAAAAAAGATGAGAAATAGAGTGCGCAATCTAGTTTGCGTATGTTTAGCTGGGAATACATGGGTTATAGTTAAGAATTGTTTGTTAAGAGTTAACCATTTCAAGGCAGTGCAAAAAATTAATGTCAAAGTCAAGTTAAAAAAGTTCAGATTGAAATATTTTTTTCACTAAATACAAAATGTTTTCTAAAGTTTGTCTAAAATTGTAAAACCCATGAAAAATTCAAATGAATTTAGATTTGTGCATGATTAATATTGATATAAACATTTTATTCATAACCAACACCACAAATTAAGTTGTGAAATTATGTGCATAACTTTTAATTTCTAAACGTTTTAACTTCTTTAAAAACTTTTTTTTATTAGTTTCATTTCATCCATAAATTTTTACAGTTTTAAATACTTAAAGTAATTTGACACATCTCTGTCAATTATTTGGAATAATTCATCGTTTTAAAATGAAACATAAAATTAATAAAAATGCACTAATTATTTATCAAATTTAAATATACCAATCATATATCAAAACTTAAATTCACCAACCATATATCAAAATTATATCCAACATCAATGGCTATTTTGAAGTAAATAAATTCTCAATTCTCTTATGCCAATTAAAAAACATCCCTTTATTGTTTGTTGTTCTATTTAATTATTATCACAGTATCTATTATAATAGCAAATATGTGAAAAAGTAGAAAATTAATATATTTCACTATTTTTTTCACACACAATTCCTCTTAGAGTTATATGTATAGTTATACATAGTAATTGCCTATTAGAGTTATAGTTCTTATGCTCAATGCCTCTTAGATAAGAACTCCATTGAAAAAATCACTTCAAATATTCTTGTTCCCGAAAAAAATTATGGTTAGTTAATTTTAACCTTTTTTTTTATTAACCAATTTAGATATTGGGTGATTGGAACTAATTGTGACTGAGTGGTTCAAAAAAAAAACTACTATAAATTTCAAGTTAATTTTATGTATTTTTTTGTTTGGCATGACTATAAGCTATTAAAGCCTTATTAGGTTTCAAAAAACAACAGCAGATAACTGTTGTTGTGCTTTCTTAAAAATATTTTAAGAAACCTTTTCAAAGGCTTTCAGCTTTTTTTACCTTTGCAAAGGCTTTTAAAACATTTGTAAAAACCATTGCAAATTTTTTGAAAGTCTTTGCAATGTTTTTTGATATTTTAAAATACAAGTTTCTGCTTGTTTTTTTTTTGGGTTTTTTTATGAGAACAAAGTTTAAGGCTGTAGCAAGAGCAACTTGGTTGTAGTTTGTAACAAGATAGAATAATATAATAATGTAATACCAGATTTATTAAACAAGCTTTTTCAAAAAGTTAAAAAAGCTTAAATTATTTAACGTCTTGTCTCCTAACTGAGATCTAAATTTATTACAAATTATTAATTTTTAATCTTTATTGTTCTTTTAATGCTTTTTTCTTAATTTTTTTTTTTTTTTTTGAATAAGAAGATGAAGTTTTTCCTTTATAGAAAAATCAACATTTAGTTTAAAAGTAATAAGCTTGTTATTTAAATCTGAACCTGATTTATCATTTAAGTGTCTCAGACTGCTATTGCCAGATTCCGCATAAGTGTGTAAGATACTTTCTACAAGATAATGTCAACAATATTATTAAAAATTGCAGCTTTACTGCTAATATTAAAAATACCATAGTTGTCTTTAACAGAAAGAACCACATTAGGGTCTATTATATAGTGTAAAATGTCTGAAAACATTGTTCTCTCTTTAATACAACTTATTAATTCTTTTTTTAGTGCAATGTTTAAAAAAGTGTTTTAGTTACTTCATCTAGTATGAATTTTGATGTTGATCATATAATTTAAAAGTGAAGAAAATTAGAGAAAGTTTCTTCCGACAGTTTCTTGAATGTATTTTTAGCAGTAGTTTATCATTCTTGGTTGATCTTCATCATTCTTGGTTGGTGATTTTCTAAATACTTTAATGACTTTTCGAATTTTGTAATTAAAGAATTTACTCCGGCGTTTTGTAGAACAAGATGGGTAGACTCTGTCGCTTCATGGACTACTTCAAAGTTTTCAAGTTCGATTTTCGAATAATCAGAATCAACATTAAGTATTGCATTTGTATCATATTATCATCTTGTACATCTGTTGTACTAATATTATAAAGTACTTTTATTATTGCCAATTGTAGGCCATGTGCAGATCATAACTGATGGTTTTTATTAACTAACTTTACCGTTCTCTTATTAACAGCAGCTCTGTCTGATGTTATGCAGACAATAATTTGACAAAACAATATTAAACTCTTTTAACTCCTTTTCAATTAGTTCTGTGCATACCTCAGCAAGTGCAGATTCATGAATCCGACTTAATCCAAGATTACAAAAATTACCATCATTTCCATGAATACTAATATTAATGGTGGTTTTTACTGGTCCATTCATCTGTGGTAAAACTAAGCGCTTTTTTATTCTGTAAAGTTTTATTTACAACTACTTTCCTTATTTTAACAGCATAATCCATTACTTTTTTTTAATGGTTTTTGTTTTCAATAGCATCTTTAAATCTTCAAATGCGTAATTTATTGATTTAGCGCTCTTCTCTATTTTTTTTTAACACATTAATTTTATGTTGACTCTTTTAATGGCCATGTAAGCCACTTTTACTTTCACCTGCTGTTTTAATTCTTTTTCTATACAATGCTTCTCATTTCTATATGATGATAATAATTCCAAATTGAACTTTTATCCATTAAAAGATATTGTAGGTCTTTAAAATGAAATTAAAAAAAAAAAAATTTTCTTTTTTTATAAAAAATGTCATCAATTGAACAAATTTTATTTTTGCAAAACAAGTCAACATCTATATCATTTAAAATGTTTTTAATTACAGTCATTAAGTTTATACATGCGTTAAGTTCAAACAAAAGCATTTTGTACATTTTTAAGATTTATAATGTTAAAAGATTTAAAGATATATATTGATAAGAAAATGTTATAAATTTATTTTAATAGCACTTCTTTATTATATAACAATAACCAGCCATTACGAATTTAAGCAATCCTTACATATCAAAAAACCTGAATTACTAAATTAAAAAATTTGAACCAAATATTTAAATATATAATGGTTTAATATTTAATTATTTAACGGTAATTGTGTAAATTGAAAACCGGTATTATGATCCCTAGTATGGAAACATTTCCTCCCCCAAATAGTTCAAATAATGGCAGGTTGCTTTTTATTATTATTGCTGATATGACCTTAGATATGTTACTATACTTAGTTAAGCTCTGTATTAAGATGATGTCATTAAATGGAGTATCACTTAAGTTTAAGGTAATCTAAGCCTTTGCATGATTATTTAGACAAAGATCCCCAAAACAGACAACATTTTTACATTTTGTAAGGTTGAACTGATTCTAAAAGAGAAATTTTTTCAGATTTGTATTTGATGCTATCAGAGGTAGAAAAAGTAAAAAAGTTTTGTAATTAAGTAAAAGTACT